CACACACACACACACACACACACACACACACACACACACACACACACACACACACACGTTCAGGCAAACACTTGTACACATTACATAAATAATTTAAAATTAAGTTAAGGCAAGTTTGCAGCGTTTTAGAGACAAACAGCAGTGCACCGAACACAACTCAGGGCAAAGACCCACGGGCCGCTGTCACAGCACAAAAGCCTCAGGTCTACAAGAGGACAGTACCCTGGAAGTCACGATCCACATTAAAAGAAACAGCAAGTGTTAGCATAAAACAGACTAGAGGGCCAGGTGTGGTGGCGCACACCTTTAACCCCAGCACTGGGGAGGCAGAGGCAGGTAGATCTCTGAGTTCGAGGCCAGCCTGGTCTACACAGTTGAGTTCCTGAATAGTCAGGGCTATGTAGAGAGAGCTGGTCTCATAACAACAAACAATGAGAAAACGGTGACAGGAACAGTTGCATGCAGCGCTAACTGGCATTTCCTCACATGGGTCCGAGTGTCGCTGACACACTCAGTATACCTGCTGTGCGGGTAATGGCCACGCTAGCATCTCCCGGAAGAGCAACCACACAGGTAATGTTACACCCCAGAACCCAAGCAGGGAACCACAGCCATCACCAAGGGGCACTGTATTTAGGACAAGGCAGGCAACTTACCACGCCACACCAGAGGGAAGAAGACAGACACGTCATGAAGACCGTCTAGAGGAAAGTCTACCAGACTGGTCCCTCACCCTGAGGCAGGGATGCTGACGTATTGAAGGAGAGGAACCAAGAAGAGAGAGTTGAAAAGGAGGGGAATCAAGTCCAGAGCATCACCACACGAGACGACACGAATCCGCATACGCGCGCAGAACCAAAAAGACACGGGTGGAATGAGGAGGGAGGGCTGTGCCCCCTGCGTCCACAGGCACCCGCGTGTCCCCTTATCATCATCACTGGCTCGGTGTCAAAGCCTTCGTGGTGCCACAAAGTTGGACGTTCAACGATTGGGAATTTTTCATCCAAGTTATCTGCTGCCCCCAGAACACGGGGTGCTGTTTTTAAAGTCATCTCTATGTGTCATCAATGCCAATCCCTAAGCCACCTTGGTGGCCACCTTAAATAAACCCATTCTCCATTTTCCCAAATGATAAACTCCTAGGGTCCTGGCTAGATGGCCCAGCAAGCAAAGGGGCCTGCCACCGAGTCTGATGCTCTGGGGTCAATCCTCGGGACTCATTACGTGGTAGAAAAAGAGAACAAACTTGTCCTCTGACGCCCGTGTCCCCTGCCCCAACACAAACTTTATAATCCCCGGGACTCATTACGTGGTAGAAAAAGAGATCAAACTTGTCCTCTGATGCCTGTGTCCCCTGCCCCAACACAAACTTTATTTCAAGGCTGGGCAGGGAGGTGCCTGTCATCCCAGCACTTAGGAGGCAGAGGCAAAAGGATCAGGACTTTTGAGAGTGGCCTGAGCTACACGAGGCTCTGTCTTCAAAAGTTTTAAAATAATAATTACTATTACTTAAAATTATTATTATTAAAGTATCAACAAAATTTCAAAGAAGCTCTTTAGTTTCAAAACTGAAACCAATTTCACATTCGAAGGTATTATGAATGGGTGCTTGAAGGCAAAAATAAATTGGTGTGCCAAGATAGTTTCTTAGATCCACTCAGGCAGTTCTGGACTTACCAAGGCTGCTCATTCACCCTTGGAACGAAAGGTGTGGCTTTGTGTGGAGTTTTCTATGTTTGTGACTAGTTCATTTGGAGCTTAGGTACACCGACAATAACTTAGAAAAGGGCAAACACACACGGTTTCCTGTGTCAGATACTATTCTGAGCACTTACAAACGTTAACGTAATAAATATACACACAGCTAATTTCACTTACATGTTTGGTGGTTCACTGTGTTCCGATAAAAGGGCCTAGGTTGCTGCCATTTTTCCGCCTGCAAAGATGAGGACAGGATTGTTAGCAAGTGCTCGTGATAGCATATCCACACATTTCCAATCATGTTTCCAAACTCGGGAGAACCCTAATCCATCATTTCAGGCTAACTTTATTGCATTCATTAAAAAAAAAAAAAAAAAGACTCATTAAAAAAAAAATCACCTCTCCATTCAATAGTAATAAGGACTTGAAAATCAAGTATCCCACGGCTTCAAAGACAACCACGTAACACCACGAATTCAGTTTAGCCGAGGCTTGCCTCGCTCTGGATTCTTCCGTTGGCTGTGATCACATTTTGTAACATCGAGGTGTGAGGCCTGTGCACCCCACTGCACCCGTGGAGGTCAGAGGACACTTGTAGCAGCTGGTCCTCTCCTTCCCAACAACTGGGTCTCGGGGATCGAACTCAGGCCATCGTGCTTGGAGGCAAGCACCTTCATGGTTGAACCGCTTTTGTCAGCCCCTTTTCCAAGTCATCCTTCCCTCTGAAGACCATCTGTAAGTGACCGTCTAACTTCTCACCTTACCCTATGAAGTAACTGCAGCTCTAGAGGGAAGACCAATCCATAGATGTAGCTTTAAGAACTACCTAAGATTCAACACAATATAATGGGAAAAGCGTCAAAAAGGAGGGTTACTGTTAAGGCGAGGTTCAAGTGACATTTATCCTGGGGAGTTTGAGGTCGTCCTTGGGGTCTCTCACTCTCTTACCCCTCAGCTGTGGTGGAAGGCCCCTAACAGACTGGTAAGGTCCTAATACCCAGCATTCATTTGTAATGGAAAACACAGCTGTCAAAAAAACAGCCGCTCCAACTAGTTTCATCAATAGTTCCTGTCCTGCCGGCACACAGGTGCATCCTGGGAGCCCCTGAATCCTCGACTCCAGCATCTTCTGGCAGTTTGGAGAGGAGGACACGTCCACGGAATGAATTGTCCGGTGAACCTGCTGGAGTCACCAGTGAGAGCCCTAGCCCTTCTCCTCCCCTCCAGCCCAGGCCCTCCTTCACTGCCCTTCCCCAGGACGAACAAGAACACACCTCTAGCTCTTATTCCCTCCCAGCCTCTTACCCAAGCTGCGTCTTGAGGAACCACCATAAACATAAATCAGGCGGGGTTCAATCACACTCCCTCTTTTACCCTGGATGTTCTGACACTTGGCCTGCTCTGGTCCTGCCCCCCCCCACCCCACCCCCCCACCCCCCACCCCGTTCTGACTCTTTAACCTTCTCTCACTGAACCACAAGGTCCCTGAGCTGGACCTGCTCATTTGATTGGTCCAGGTGACTACAGGGCTCAGTCGATCTGTTCTTGGATGGCTGATAGCCTAGGACTATTAGAACCCAAGGTACCATCACCCCACGGGGAAGGCTCTGGTGGCCAGACTGCATGGCTTCACGGGCCACGTGCGGACCTCCCTGTGCTGCCCCTTACTCCAAGAGAACCAGGAACCAGATGGGCTCCGTCTATATTCTTGTCTCAATTTTTGTTGTTGTTGCTGTTTCCTACGCTTCTGTGGCCCAAATAAACCTGAAGCTATTAAAGGAGAAAGAGCACAAAGTTCAGGATGACTGAGGAACAATTCTGCAGCAAGGCCTCGCTCGGGCAGAGGTTACTAAGAAACACCATCAACAAAAACGAAAACACACTTTTGGCCAAGGCAGTCCTCAGCGGGTACAATGCTGGGAAACACATTCAGAAGTCTGAGTTAGCTTCAGGGTGCCACCACAACTGAGGCCGTGAGAAGTGTGAGGACTGGAGACGGCGGCCTTGCTGCCGCCTTCCTCCCATCCCCAGGGCACAGGACCAGTGCCATGGACCACGGTGTTCTCCTGCCACTTGCCTCACACCAATCGACAATTAACTGTCATGCCTTAACTGCATGCCTGGTGTTCTGAATGGTTCACGGCTGTGGTTAATTTTTAAAAGACGTTCCCCTCACGCTCACGTTTCAGTTCTCGTTAAGTGAGGAGATTAAGAACAAACTGGTGGAGAGACCCCACACACACCCACACCCACACAATACCTAAGTTCTAAGTCCTTATCACGACATGGGGTCAGAGAGCCAGCTGCACTCACTCTTGGAATGGCGTGCGTGTAAATAGGCCAGGCACAGTTCTAGAGACTAGAGACACATGCCAAAGACAACCCCTGCCCTGGGAGGAGTGACATTCTAGGAAGAGACAACGAACACTTGAGAAGACCAGCACACACACTGGATGATGTTAAGTGTCATGTAGAGAAGAGAAGAGGGTGAGCTGGGGGTGGGGCATTTAAACAGTGGTTAAGGGACACCTTACTGAGAAACTGCCGCCTGATCCTGGAAAGGGTACGACAGGAAGTACAGTTTGGGAGTATATACATCTATATACACACACATTCCTATACTGGTCACTCCCAAGTACTAGTATTTTCATTTATTCTGAAAATACAGGGCTTTGTCCCTAGCTAAGGAGAAAGGCCCTCATATTTATGTGGCCATGGCAGTCGATGAGTGTTGTTCTCCACATAAAGATCTACTGCCCACAGTCAAACATCAAACACAAGCACCCTACAACCCAGCTTCAAGTGTTTTGCTGGACCAGTGTGAGGTCAGCCAAAAAAAAAAAAAAAAGCCTAGCCCCTCACAAAGGAGGCCTCATGCTTCTATATACAGACTTTGGCCCTGATAACTGTGATAAGGTGATGGACAGTACAATGGACATGATGAAATTCTTTAAAAATTAAGTAACCATTTTATTCTCTGTTCTGTGGATAAATGGGGGTGGGAAGAGGCCACAGTGCAGAGTGTCCTAAAAATCAATGGGTTGCCAGTCTGGGAGCAGCGTTTTTTTGAGTCCCTCAGCCTTGGAGGCTGCCGTGTGTCAGGAGTGGAATCCCTGCCCTCCCTTTCCCACAACACCTCAGTCCAGTGCTGGCCTGGTCTTAGCTGCAGACCAAAGCAGTACACCTGGTATTTAACTCTCCGAACTGACATGCTGTGTTCACTCGGCTTCTCTCAAGTATGCCAAGACAGGCAAAGCCCTCCTGGTGATCTCCAGGCTGCCACACCGCCCTATGGCAGGGTTCTTCAGCGTCAATGTGTACACAGCTGGGACCGGGGAGAGCACACTCGGACCCAGGAGGCTCATGTGCACATGACATATTGCCATGGTCAACACTTCATCTCCGAACTACTTTAGCTCACATCCTGGTCATCTGCGACAATTCTCAGCATCTATTTCCTTTTTAGTTGGCTTCTAAGGGTAAGGGTGCACTGACAAGATGTCCCAGCAGGTGAAGGTGCTTGCTGCCAAGCCTGACTGCTGGACTTCTAGCTCTGGGATCTGCACTGTGGAGGAAGAGAACCAACTCCTGAAAGCTGTCCTCTGGCTTAAACACCTCCCCAAATATTTTCTTTTTCTTTTTTCTTTCTTTTTTTTTTTTTTTTTTGGTTTTTCGAGACAGGGTTTCTCTGTGTAGCTTTGCGCCTTTCCTGGAACTCACTTGGTAGCCCAGGCTGGCCTCCAACTCACAGAGATCCGCCTGGCTCTGCCTCCCGAGTGCTGGGATTAAAGGCGTGCGCCACCACCGCCCGGCCCAAACATCTTTTAAAGGGTAACATAGATAACGTTTTAAAAATCATTTGTTTAGATTCAGAGACTTCAGCAGCTGGTATATAGGGTCTGCACATGTGCAAGCCAGATGGGCTCCCACTGCTGAGGGAGGAAGTGGACACCGGCTCCCACCTCTAACCAAGAAGTCTGTGCAACTGATATCCCAAGCAAAGGAAAACTTGGTTTTCTCCAGTGGAGTTCACTGTATAAATGAACCACACCTCACGGTAGACTCATGCCCAGCAGTAGGTGGTCAACACAAAATGAACTCAATGGCATTTTTTTTTTGTTTGTTTGTTTCAAAGTGCTTTGTTGGAACGTTTTGTTTTTTCTTTTGGCTGTCTTATTGATCTTGTGCTTGTGTATTTTGTCTTGAGACAGCCTCTCTCTCTCTCTAGTCCTGGCTGTTCTGGAACTCTGTTTAGACCAGGCTGATTTCGAACTCAGGAGATACTCCTGTCACTGTCTCCTAAGTGTCGGGGTTAAAAGGCATTTGCTACCACTACTAGCCTTTTGCATTCATGTTTTGGTTTTTGCTTTCATCTTTATTTTTCCCCCGTCTATATGTGTGTTTCTTATTTTTGTTGGTTTTTTTACAGAGAGAAAGGGGGTGAGGAGTTGAGTGGTGGAGAGGATCTGTGAGGAGTGGGGGAGGGGGATTGTGATCAGAAAACACTGTCTGAAAACAATGTTTTTTAAAAAATATTTTTAGGATCCTCAGCAAATTCGTGGAAAAAGGCCCACTATAAAACCCTCAGGTGACTAAAAGGTAATAGATATCTAAAAAGAAACAGACTAAGTGTTAAGGAAAGGGCACATAGCAGAGAACAGACTCAGTCTGTGTGGCTCCTGTAGCTTACAGCCAAGTAAAGCGAGATGAGGGACCTGGGCACAACATAAACAATTATTTTCAAAGTAAGGCACTTCCCTTACTGAAGACAGACTTGCTCACTCCTTCATCTCCTGTATCAAACATGGCAAATAGGACAGGCTATAGATCCCTCCCCAAAGGCCATTTCACAACTTGGTGCGTCATAGGCACTATGCCTAGAATGCTTTCCCAGTTCCAGACCAGCCCTTCAGATGGAACACTGGGCTTCACCCCAGCCTCTTCTGGAGCGGGTGCACCCGGCCTCCAAGCAGCGTGGACAGCTTCCACTCGGCTCAGCACACACAGCACATGCCGGCCGCATGCATGCACTTCTGCCTGATATTCTCCCGCAGACACAAGCACTCAGACCAGGTCTCGGAAGGCAACATCGTGAGCTAGCTCTCCACGTTGCCTTGGCAGCGACCACAGCGATTTGTACATCCGTGTACTCACTGGATGACAGAGGCTCCCAGTGAGGAGAAAATGGAGAGAGAGGATGAAGTTACCGTCTAACAAGCAGGTGCACTGCAGAGC